TCAGGTCACAGATAGGTGATATAAAAATGCCTGCATTCTTTTGAGTTTCTGATTAGCCTTTCCAAAGGAAGCAAATCAGATATGCATCTATCTCAGTAACTTTGAATGGAATGGTGCTGGGTGGTTGGGGGGAAGGGGCAGGTGAGTTTTCCTTAGTGATTTCGGGGGTCCAAAGTATTTTCCTTTCACACCCAGGATGAAAATTTTAAGAGCATTGATTGTGGTAAGGGATATTAAGAATAGGAATAAAAGATGCCATAGAACAAACAAGACTCAGTTTTGAAGGGTCATAGAGAGGGTTTCAGGTTGAATCTAAACTACCACGATTGTTAAAACTTATATCTTATCCCAAAACCTGCCGGCTGAGGATCTCTAAAAGTAAGCATTTTGAACCATAGATAAACGATGTTATAATCACTGCTTCAATGTTTAAATCAAGACAAGCACACATGTTTTTTAAAAGCAAACAACTGGTTTTCCCTCTATAAAAGTATCTGAATTAACTCATTTCATCATCATAATATGTAGAACAAATCTACATGTTTCACAGTTCAGCATCGAAAAACATAGAAGCATGGGTGCAAAAGAAAATAATTTTCAGGAACTTGGGAAAAGCCCTTTCACTGATTTAAACTGTGAAGCGCTTGACTTCCAATAGCAAGTGCAGAGAAAGAAATACTAACTACAGCTTAAAAGTCACACTTTCATAGATTCTCAAAATAGCAAAATATTACTCATTCACATCTCAGATTTTTTCTTTCCATGATAAAATAAGGAGATTTTTAATTTCAAGCAGTATAATTATAAATTTTCTTTAATACTATGTTTACAATGAACTTTGTTTTTCTGAGACAGAGTCTCACTCTGTCGCTCAGGCTGGCATGATCTCAGCTCACCTGCAACCTCTGCCTCCTTGGTTCAACTGATTCTTATGCCTCAGCCTCCCAAGTGGCTGGGATTACAGGTTTATGACACCAAACCCAGCTAATTTTTGTATTTTTAGTAGAGATGGCATTTCACCATGTTGGCTAGACTGATCTCCAACTCCTGACCTCAAATGATTCACCCACCTCGCCCTCTCAAAGTGCTAGGATTACAGGCATGAGCCACTATGCCCGGCCTACAGTGGATTTTAAATAACTGATTCTATTTAAAATAGAATCTTAATTCAAGTGCTAAAGACTCTCTTTCTTATTGATTTAGTTATGGTATTTCTGTCCTCATTTATGCTGTTTTTCCCAACCCCATAACAATTTTCAACACTCCATCCAAACCATACATAAACAAGCATTGCACTCTTGAGAACCTGAATTTTTAATTAAAAGACTTAGAGATTGTCTTAGTTTAATAACTCTAACCATATGATCCTAACAATCAAGGAACACAGATGAGAAAAGACAAAATGAAAATACAACAAAACAAATGTGTTAGGAGCAGGGTCTATTATTGGCAGGGAAATGTCATTTTTATAACCTCTGAAAGGCACAATACACTTGTCAAGACACTGAGAAGTAACCTGGCTATTTCAGCCATACCAATAAACCTGTTCACATTAAGTAATGATAGGGTAGAAACTAAAAGGGAATAAGACTTTAAAGAATATAAAATATTATGTATGCATCATCAACTTAATTTGGAATTCTTTGTTTTTTATAAAAAGTGGGAAGGTCAAAAAAAGGTGGAGGTGTAGGAACTGAAAGAACTTCAAATTGAAAAAAGACATGAACTGCAATTATATCCATATGCCCTATTTAGAAAAACATCTTGAAGCCATCCTCCGGTGTTAAAGGAGGTTATTTGTTGACTAAATTTTTTATCTTTCCATTAATTAGTTATGCTTCAGAACTTATTCATTAAACTCCTTAGCACTTTAGACACACCAAAGACTTATGTACATATCAAGAGACTGTTTAGTGGCAAGAATCCAAAAAGAAGAAACTGCACTTGATTTTGGATTCAAAGATTCTAATTAATTTTAAAATAACCTCCCTTCCCTACCTTTTAACTGGCAAATGAATCAGTGTAAGAGATAGCAAGGCCTTCTTATTTCTCCTATCAGACTAATTTAGTCAAGTTCCCATTTTTATAGGGTATCCTCAGATGTGAATAATGTAGGGATTTTATTCCTCTCTGACCCTTGCAAGGCAAAGAGCATTAAACATGACAGCTTTTGCCATATTTCAATGCCAAAGGCCACAGTTGACAATCAAGACATAACAATCATAAATATCTGTACACCAAATAACACAGCAGCAAATGTTACATAGCATAAACCACAAGAGATGAAAGGAGACATAGATAAAACACATGAATAATAAGGTACATTAGCCTTCCACTCTCAGTGCCAGGACAAATCAAAAGGATTTTTAAAAAACACTTAAAGTTATACAGACCAAATCAATTTAACAAGTGTAAACAGAACTTAAAGACATACATATATATCTTTATATGTGTATATATATATATATATATATATATATATATACACACACACATACACACACACACACATAACTAATATATACACACATATATATCAGGATGTGAAGGAATGATGTATATTAAAGATTAAATATATTTATATTAATTATATATATTAAATATTAAATATATTAATATAATCTGTTCACATCCTGATAACTTTTGTAACTTTTCATTAAGCATGCAGTTATTTCAAAATTAAACTATCAAAAATGAGAAGAAGAAGAGGAAGAGGAGGTGAAGAAAGAGGAAAAGAGAATGAAGAGGAGAATCGAGAAAAAAACGGTGCTGGTAAGTTACTGTTTCAATCCTCTTTTCTTAAAACATCATTAAAGCATTTTGTATGTTAAACAAACAAACAAAAAATCTTGATCTGGTGGACTTTTGAATGAACTAGTCTTTTTCAGAGTCCTGTAGAGAAAAAGAAAGAAAGGTACCCAGAGTGTTGTCCATATAATTTGAGTCATGAAGCACAAGATGTGAAAAGTCTCTGAATCCCAAGATTTTTGAGGAGTGAGAACAAAAAGCACACACTCAAAATAATAAAATGTGACAGATATACGATGAGATGGGTCCAATACCCAGGGGTCCCGTGTTCATTTTACTGTGTCACTGGGCAAAACAAGTTACCATTTTATTTTAAAATGAAAGGAAAATGCATTTTGTCTGCATTTGCTGAGCAAATTGTTCCAGTTTAGCAGACTCAGGCCAGAGGCACACTGTACCCAGGACTTTCTCCAGCCTTCTTTTAAAAAAGAGTTACCCAAGTGAAGTTGTAAGGAAGAAAATGGGACAAAGCAAATGATAATGACTCTACAGCTGAGGTCATTTATCATGAGGGTACTCATTTTCATGTAATATATTTGATAATTTTTTCCCACCCACCATTGACATGGACATTCAGGAAAATAAAATAAATCTGCTTTGGCCTTGTATTTTACCCTCTTCTCTATGCAAACAAGAATGGTTGCAGTGTGAATATGCTTATTTCACCACAAAGGATTGTGCTGGTGAAATGTACACTTTTTATGAAGGGTTATATTTAACTCCTTTATCCTCCAGTAAACGAAGCAGAACAAGCACTAATGAGCATTAAACATAACCAAAACGCTGACTTTAAAGCGTTGTATTTTCTTCTTGAAAAAAATTAAAATCGTTCCTAGAAGAAATCTAACTATAACACTATTGTTTATATACAGTTAACGAAAGGGTTACAAACCATGGTATTCAGTCATTTGACACCCTGAGTCATTTTCTAGAACTCACGATTGTTACAGAACCTGTTTTCCTATGAAGGATTATTTCTTTTCCAATCTCAATTCTGTATTTTCCAAGTAATGGTGCTTTTTGAAGTCAATTTTTCATTATTGTGGTGGATTTTGCTTTTGTAGTTTTTAAAATCTATCAGTTAATCTACTTTTGAGAATAAGTGGCATTCAAGCTATGGTAGGTTGACCTCAGTAGCTGAAAATCCAATAGTTTAAAAATTGAGCTCATTTTTCATGAGACACAAGCCGTGAAAAATGTGATCAAAATGAAGTCGACATCCTGCAATTCTAACTTATTTTACCTGATTAAAAAAAAAAACAAGGAGTGAGTCTCCTCTGACCTTATTTCATTACTTCCTTTTATATCTGTGGATATCATGAACCTGCTGCAGATCTTTGAGCAGAAAATGATCTAAAAGGTCATTTTGCAATTTTTTTTTTTTTGCCAAGCAATATATCCTACACCATCCCCAAATATGCAACATTTTTTTTTATTTTCTCACTTATATATACCGTTCCTGCCTTTTTATTGTGGTTGTGGTTAGCAGGACTATCTACTGAATTCTAAATTCTAAAATTCTCTAAATTTTCAAATGAATTTATTATTAGCCAAATAATTTGTATGGCTTTTGAATATAGATGGACAGAACCAGCTTTATAAACCTAAGTTTAATTTACTCATATTGTGATCACTCCACTATAAAAGGTCAGACTTACTAACCTCCTCTGCACTTTCAGCTGACTATTTAGGTCGACTGTGATGAGAGAGAAAGTTTTGGAGTAAAATCATCTATATTCTAGCCTCCATTCATTTACTAACTAACTGGGAAAATCACTAAGCTTTTCTGGGCCTCACTTGGTTCCTCTCTAAAGAAAAGGGTTGAGCTAGAGAGGTTCTATCACCCTTCTGAGACTAACACCTTATGTCACTACCATGATAATCATTCCACAAGCCATTTTCATACTTACTCACACAGAGCTACAAGGCACCTTAGGCTGTAACCACCTTTAGTCTAGAAGGTACTGTCCTTCTGTTGCCAAAGAAAGTTTAATCAAACCCCCACTCAGCTCATTAGGCTGTGACTGATACTAATGTTCTCTGCTGAAACAGCATTATTAGTTTTCATTAAAATTCACATCTCAATTTCCAAAGTTACCAAACAAAGGAAATTTCTCTTTAAAAATCTGAGAAGCAAAATACCTAAAGCTGTTACTACGCATTTGCTACTACGTTAGGAAAGTTCACAGTACCTAAAATAGCCACCACCTCATCATCCTGGATGACTTCCAAGGATCCCGACACCACAAAGCAGAGGGCATCCACACTTTCTCCAGCGTGGTAAATGAGGTCCCCAGGAGCACAGTGAATGGTTTGGAACTCTACTGCCAAGGCGCGCAGACACCCATCGCTGGCCAATCGAAAAGCAGGATGTTCATTAAAAACCTTCCGGTTTAGATGAACACAGATATCAGCTCTCATGTCCTTGGGACAAATGGAGAGGACCTAAAGAAGGTGAGAGATTAGTAAGTGAGACGGAAAGAGAAAGGGGCCACTTCAGAAAAAAAGCATCCAAAAAGTATTTATTGACCATAAGTATGTCTGCTACACACCCTGCTAGATACTGGGAAGGCAAAGGTAACAAGACACAGCTCTGCTCTGAAGGAGGTAATAATCCACTGAAATGGGCTGATGAGCATATGGAACATGACAATGCAGAACCATGTAGTAAATGCTTGGAGAAGAGTACGGATCTCCCCTTAGAAGGAACACAGCCTTGGCCGGGCACAGTTGCTCACCGCCTGTAATCCAGCACTTTGGGAGGCCAAGGCAGGTGTATCCCTTGAGCTCAGTAGTTTGAGACCAGCCTGGGCAACATGGTGAAACCCTGTCTCTACTAAAAAGACAAAAAAAAAAAATTAGCTGGCCATGGTGGTGCACACCTGTAGTTCCAGCTACTCAGGAGGTTTAGGGGGAAGAATCACCTTTCCCAGGAGGCAGAGATTGCAGTGAGCCAAGGTTGTGCCACTGTATTCCAGCCTGGGTGACAGAGGGAGACCGTGTCTTGAAAACAAACAAATAAGCAAACAAACAAAAAACTTTTTTGAGGCGATCATGAAAAGTCTCAGAAAAAAGTTAATATCATTTCATCAAAGAATCAAGTAAAATAGGGCATGAACATTCATTTTAATCTAGGAGATGTTTCAGAATTTTTTTATAACTAAATCAAAATTTCACATTGGAAGTGGATTCACGCTAGACAGCTGCAAGAAAACAAAATCAACAAAAGCACCCTGGCAACTTGACATACTGGCACTGGTAGACATAACTCCACTCTTGATATATTTTCTTCATTGTGAAGGATTTTTTTTTACAAATAAATTCATGTCCAGGGAGGGACAAGGGCATTCACCAGCCTTCTGTAAGGCTCCACAATTGGAAATGTCAGTGCTGGCAGGGTGAATACATTATTTTGTATGGCAGTCCTTGCTCATTCTGGTCTTCGACTTCTGAAGACTGCTGCAGGCAGTAGCAGAATTCAACGTGTAGGCATCCTTTAGAAAAGGAAAGAAATGGCGGAGGTATGCTTATACAGCAAGGAGCAGAGAGCTTTTACTGGCTGCAGCTTTCTGACAGGGCGATTACAAACCCAAATTAAAATAGACACTATTGTCACATTTAATCAGAATGTCATGGAGTAAGATGTGATTGTGGAAGTTAATACCACCCATTTTAAAGATGTAAGTGCAAACTCATTTAGAATGCTCCTCAAACCCACTTTGTAAACTATTCCTTATAACCAGAAATGGTTTTCTTTGATCAGATTTCAATCCCTCAAAGCTGAAGCTAAATTGATTTTCCCCATTAAGTTTATACTGCATAATCTTTTATTATAAAATAGTTTTCTTTCCTCTACTAATTGCATTTTAAGCTTTAAAGATTTTCCTAAGGCTTGAAAATGTCCCCTGACTATTGATAGCGATATCAATGAAAAATGGGTTGCTTCCCTGTAGAGAAGACAAGCCCATCATGAATATAAAAACCATTAATTAAATTATGCTTTCAGTATTCCTTCTCTTAACCTTTCTTAATACTGTACATATATTTCACATTATTTAATCATCTCTGGGTTTTTTTTTTTTTTCATACTCCCTCAAATTCCTATAGGCAGCAGCACTCACTCACTCACCTTTCTGAAAAATGTGATATTTGAGGAAAGGAATGCCTAATACAGCTTTAAAAGTAATTGACACTTTGTTTTCACATCAGTTATTTCCATCATAAGGCAACGTTTTCTTGAATATATAAATCTTTCCTGACTTTGGACAATACATTAGTCATTCCAAAGGCACTTACTCAGCTTCCATAATGTATCACATCACTATGTTAAATCCTCAGAAATAGAAGGATAAGTAAGACACTGTGTTTGCCTCAGGGGGGGCTAACTAGGAAGTGTGGGAGGTGGGTGTGTAAAGGGATAATTGCAATACAATGAAAAAAGTGGTATGATAGGGGCAGCAAAAAAGATCAGGTTCAAGAGGACGTAAGTCTGGGTTCACAACTATCCCTTACAACATTTGTAACCTGCAGCACCTTATTTAATTCCTCTAAGCCTAGGGATAATGACAGTGCTTGTATCTTAGGCTCATTGTAGAAATTAAATAAAAGGGCATTAGTTTAGCATAGTTTAGCCTGGCACATAGCAAGTGCAGAGGAAATACTAGCTCTTTTTATCCATACTAAACATCTGTCTTCCTACAGAGTTTACTGTTGCTTAGACTCTCTGCAAAAACAATTTTCTTTTTTTACTTTCCACTCCTGTCTAAAGTGTTCACCTGGGCAGTTTGGTAGGTTTCCAGACAGAATTAAGAAAATATTTCAGCACAAACCTGAAGATACTTTAAGTACTAAATAAAGTTAATATTTCTCCCAAGTTGAAAATGAAATTAGCTCTAGAAAAACAACAAAAAAATTTAAATACATACACACATACACAAACATTACACTGAATATCTTAATGGAAAAATAGACTGCTTTGTTTCAATCCATTTACCATGCAGGACTTTCATTGTTTTCTATTCATTTTGGCAATGGTCTTATTATTTCCTTTTAATAGTGTTTCTCAGGATTTCTGTTGCAAATGAAATATTCCAATATTTGCATTATTCTCTGTTTATTGGTATGTCAAAAGAGGATTTTATTACATTATGAGTACACCTTTCTTTTTTGTTTCACTTAACATATGACACTAATTGATGTATTATTTTGATTAATGGTATCTATTTACATCCAGATACCACAAAGTGACAAGCTAAAACTAAATGCTAAAATAGATCAACCAATATCACCCCACTGGCAAGCACCTTCCTTCCCCAACCTTAGATAGAGCATGTGTATTACACAATGCTCTTGCCATCAAAATATAAGTAGCTTGTTATTTATTCTGGAAATGAAATAATAATCACTGTCTTAGACAAGGCAGAAATTGTTTTTAAGTGATGGAAGAAAATTATCATTCAAGATGACTTTCACACCTGGCCCACTGGTCTCAGTTTCCATGTATTCTGCCTTAAATGTCAGATCCAATTTATTGCAGGTGGGTTTCCTAATGAACATTTCATAGTTAAAAACAAATAAAATTATATTTTAGAAGACAATATTTAGGTTAAAAGTGACGTTTGTTTTCAGAGTTGATTATTTTTCCCTTTTGCAACAGAATATTAATAAAGTAGACTATTCATTAAAATGAGCAATTGATTGTCTTTGGAAGAGCCATGGTGCCAGAGGCATGCAAACCAGAACAACTCCATCTTGAATAGGAACTGGGTAAAATGAGGTTAAAACCTTCTAGGCTGCATTCCCATACAGTTAAGGCATTCTAAGTCACAGGATGAGATAGGAGTTTGGCATAAGATACAGGTCATAAAGCCCTTGCTAATAAAACAGGTTGCAGTAAAGAAGCCAGCTAAATCCTACCAAAACCAAGATGGCAACGAGAGTAACCTCTGGTCATCCTCACTACTACGCTTCCATCAGTGCTATGATAGTTTACGAAAGCCATGGCAACATCAGAAAGGTCTAAAAAAGGGAGACATGAATTATCCACCCCTTGTGTAGCATATAATCAAGAAATAACCATACAAATGGGCAACCGGCAGCTCTCAGGGCTGCTCTGTCTATGCAGTAGCCCTTCTTTTATTCCTTTCCTTTCCTAATAAACTTGCTTTCACTTTGCACTGCAAAGTTGGCCTGAATTCTTTCTTGTGTGAGATCCAAGAACCTTTTTTGGGGTCTGGATCTAGGCCTTTTTCCTTTAACATATTTCTGGCAGCCACAGAAGGGACTATAGTGCAGAAGCCCTGACCCAACAGCTACCTTTGGGTAAGTATTGGGGTACTGTAACATATTTCTGGTGAACTACAGAAAGGACGATACTGAAGAAACACCCCAGCCCAAAGGAAACAGACTGCAGCACAGATGGTATGACTTTGGGTGAGCGGTGGAATACCCCGGTAAAGAATGGGATCGGGTTAGAGGCCCCTCTTAATAAAAGGCAGGGATGTTTGACCAACCATGGGTTAGAGGGCCAATTTAGGAGGGTTACAGTCCCTTCTCAGATTTAGGGGATTAGAGACCCCTCTCCATAAAGTCTGTCTCAGCTAAGAACAGGTTTGGCACTATGGGATGTTAGCTGCTATTCACTTTGGATTAATCTGCCTTGCACTCTTTGCTGATGGCTGGGGGTGACAGGATTAGGCATGTAGAGGATTGTGGGATATGGGGAGCTTTGTTTTCCCTGAAAAGGGAAACTTGAGAGCTTACAGGATTACTGGAAAAGATCCCTTTGCTACCAAGAAGCAGCTGCCTGAACTTTTCAATGTCACTGTAATGGGCGGGTCTTTCTCTGGCCTCACTGATCATTTTGCTTCCCCCACCCTGCCACAGGAAATGCTTTTCTCCCTCTCTCGTTTCCCTTTCTCATCATTTCTATTGCTCAGGGTGACCATCTTGCCCAGAGACCGTGTTTTGAAACTCCAAGTCAGAGGCTGGATTAAAGATGACAGCGCCCATCTGGGGGCAAATTTGAGCTCTGCCAGTTTGATATTGGGTGCTAATCAGAGTGGCTAATGTCTGTGTTTTATCACATGTATTTTGCTTTGCCCAGAACGAATAATAATTTTCCTTTATGATGTGGGTTGGCTCTCAGGTCAATGATGGCACAAGCTGGATCCTTAGGGCTGCTTAGGGAAAGGGAACCCAGAAGCCTGGCATGCCGGCAAAAGTGTAAGAATTTCCTAGCAGTCAGATTTCTGACTTCTCCATCTCTGTGTAAACAATTGAATGAATGATTTTTAAAAAATCAGTGTTTATCTCCTCTGTAAAGTTTTGCTTAATGTGAAAAAGAATTCTAAGGCTAGTCTTAAACTGGTGTCTTTTGTGCTATTAAATGTTTTCTGTGTCGAGGGGTACTTCAGGATAAAACACGAGCTTAGAACACCTATAAG